CATAATATAGACAACACAATATACGTTAATGTAAATGTAGTAATCTCAATGCTCTCTGTACTTTACCGCGAAAAAAGTATGTATTATGGAGTTACTACAGTGTTCGCTGTAAAATTGTGAGATAGGGACCGAGATACGGCTATACGTTTATAAGCGAATAAAATTATAGGTTATGTTAAATGTCGTATCACAATTAGGTGAAAGAGCTAAAGAGAATCTTGTTTAATGTTATAATAATTTTAATAATGTCGCAGAGAAACTAAAACGAATTTGGGATTACTTGTTAATAATAATACACAAATAGCACCAGGTAAGTTGCTGTCATTTTATTATCTATTTATCTAGTTAAATCTGAATGTTGTACAAAGCAATGGACAGTAAAAAAGTTAATTTTCAAAGGAACACTCTAGGTATTTAATAATTTAACGTTTCTTTTTTTTTCATTAAATTTTTTTTTTTGTTTTAGACAACGAAAATGAAAGTAACGACGAAAATCATACCGTTGGATTGATACCAATATATTTCCTTCTGATTATTCCGATAATGATCCGAAAATAGTTTCCCTCTGAATCAAGGAACAATCTAGGTATTTAATCATTTAAATCTTTCTTTATTTTTAATTTAAATTTCTGTATTTTTTTTTTTGTTTTAGAACAACGAAAATGAAAGAAACGACAGCAATAATACCGTTAACATTAAATACCAACATATTTCCTGCTAATTATTCCGATGATGATCCAAACTACGTTCCCCAGAATCAGAAGCCGGAAAACGAAAATTTGAATCTATCTGATAACAAGAGAAGTAATGTGTCATTAGACAGACCATCATCACAAGAAAAGCGAAAAGTATCAGAAAAGGTTAAGAGAGAAAGAAATCAAGTTAGAAATGAGAACAAATGGATTGACAAAAAAGTCAAAAAAGAATTTAATAGCGGTCTGGAACATAAGAACCGCCAAGGATAAGTTTATAAACCTGCAAATATGATGAAGGTTCCTTGTAAGGATATTTGCAGATATAAATGTAATAGCATATTAAATTTTGAAACAAGACAAGTAATTGTTGACGAATTTTGGAAACTTGGAGATCATACCAGGCAGTGGGATTTTCTAGCAAGGTGCGTGACACAACAAGGTAAAACGCAAATCACTGTAAAACAATTCTAGGAGAAACTTTTCGCGCAAATATAAATTTAATATTGGTAATACCGAGAAACCAATTTGCAAGACAATGTTCTTAAATACACTTGCGATTTCTGAAACTTTTGTTAGCACTGCATTAAAAAAAATAGTGAAGCTGGTACCATAGAAGCAGATAAGAGAGGAAAACATAATACTAGACCGCACAAGATCCCGGATAGTGTAAAAGATAACATTGTAAAACACATAAAATTATTTTCACTTGTACCTTCTCATTATACAAGGAAAAACTCAAAACGCATGTACTTAGAAGAGGGCTTAAACATATCTGTAATGCACCGAATGTACGTGGAATATGCCAAACTCAAAAAATGGGGTGTCGTCGCTACAGTTAGACAATACAGGGATACTTTAAACTCACAATTCAACATTGCATTTTTCAAGCCTAACAAAGATCAGTGTTCAGTATGCAGTGCGTATAGCAATACAGATACAGAGAAAAGAACTCAATCAATGGAAGAAAATTACAATAGCCATGTTTTAAACAAAGAATCTGTTAGAAATCTGAAAGATGCTAATAAGGAATTGTCCAAAAGTGATAAATCGTTTTTAACAATATGCTTAGATCTGCAGAAAGTATTAGTAACACCCAAGTCAGAGGTAAGTAACTTTTATTATAAGAGTAAGCTTGCAACTTATAATTTTACTATTTACGACTTGGGCAATAATCAAGGACATTGCTACGTATGGCATGAACAAATATCAAAAAAGGGGGCCGAATGAAATTGCAAGCTGTTTTATGGCATTTTTTAAAAGGTGAAAAAACGAGATGGCATTCGAAAAAGTCGTGTTATACTCCGACAATTGCGGAGGGCAAAACCGCAATCGTTTTATTTTTTCGATGTTTGCTCATGCATCGGTGACTTTGGATCTGGAAATAACACACCGTTTTCTTGAGATTGGTCATACCCAGAACGAAAATGAGAGCATGCACGCTGTTATAGAAGTTGCAAAGAAACGACATTCGAATATTTATACTCCTGACCAGTGGATTAGCTTCATAAAGATGGCAAAAGTTACTTCTCCACAGTATAGAGTGAAGGAAATATCTCAAGAAGACTTTTTTAGTTTTAAAACCAATAGTTCAGAAATAGAACTGGAAGAAAACTAACACTGCGGATGGTGGTAAAGATAAGCAAAATTAGGGAAAATCACTTCGATCCGAAGAATCCTTATAAAGTTTATTTTAACTACAGTTTTGCAGAAAATTATAAGGACTCGACATCGCAACATCAAAATTACGTAAACCCCAAGAATATAAACTACCTCACGTTTATACCAAGGGTCTTTTACCAATTGACAGTAAAAAAATTAAAATGGTCTATTAAGTTTATGTAAAGCCAATTTTGATACCAGCAATGTACCATGGGTTTTATAACTCCCTGCGGCCTGCTAATGAAGACATTCCACCAGAGTGCTCTACAGATCAAGAAACTGGTTCCGAATCTGAACAATAGCAGTGTATTGTACTTAGCAATTAGTCGTTACTTATCATTATAATTAGTGTTTATAATGCCATTATAATACAAATTGCTAAAAAATAAAATATTTGTTAATTTTTTTTTGTTTTATTATTGTAGTATGTTTTTATAACTGAAATTTTTGTCGACGAAGACTGTAGTAAACTCATTCAAAATCCAAAATCGAATATAACCTTACGAAAGTTTTATTTCTTTTGCAATAATTATGATTGCACAAATAGTTACTGAGTGAAAAAAATTAAAAACGTAGTAGTGATAATTAAAAAAATTACAGAACGTCACTTTTCACAATTATTTTTAAACGCAATTAATCTCGGAATGAGCGATCTTGAGTTACGACAGTTTTTTCGTTGGGAGGGTCGAATTGTCTTTTAAAATTAGCAAAATTTTACATTTTGTCATTATGTCATTAACATAATGACATTAAATTTGATTTACTTTTTATTTCTGTCAAAACTTATTACTAAGGTTTCCATATCTCTTCTATTTTTTATATTTATTTTAGGTGAGTTTGACAGAAGAAGTGTCTATGTTTATGCAAAACCTTCATTGCAAATTTTGATATAATATTAGTTATTAAACAAGCAACAGAGTTTATGTTATTAAGTATTTAAGAAAGAAAAAATACAAATAAAAATAAATTTTATCTCATTTGAACTTGGAATAATCCCTTTCATATGCGTAATTTTAAGAACTTTTATATTGTTATTCTTTTATTTAAAAGAAGATTACTTAAATACTTAATAACATAAACTCTGTTGCTTGTTTAATAACTAATATTATATCAAAATTTGCAATGAAGGTTTGCATAAACATAGACACTTCTTCTGTCAAACTCACCTAAAATAAATATAAAAAATAATTGGCGAATGGATTTAGTGTCCGCAGTCATTTAAACACAAACAAACAACAACAACAGAAGAGATATGGAAACCTTAGTAATAAGTTTTGACAGAAATAAAAAGTAAATCAAATTTAATGTCATTATGTTAATGACATAATGACAAAATGTAAAATTCTGCTAATTTTAAAAGACAATTCTCACAAGGGTAAGCCTATTTAAGACATAAGAACTTCATTTTTCTAATGTAAAATTTTTATGTTAATTTTTAGTATGTTTTGAAAAAGAGTAAAATAAACTCGAAAGCTTAGCAAACCTAAAAGAGTTTTACTTAAAAGGCCAATATATTGACTACTAAAACCCAATATATCCGTATATATTACTCACATAGTCACTAAAGCCCTTTCTAAGAATATATATATATATATATATATATATATATATATAAATATATATATATATATATATATATATATATATATATTAGAGTGTGTATAACGACGCTAAGAATACAATATATATATAATTCTTATATATATTGACGCTATATATATATATATATATATATATAATATATATATATTATATATATATAAAATTCTTTGGGAGGTAACTTTCGGGAAAGCGTCAAAACAAGGATCAGCTAGAGATGGTATAAAGCCAGTTTGGTGTAGAACTTTATTCAAATACAAACACAACAAAAGAATCTAAAAATTTAAAAACCTACAAAAACTGCAATTTCATGTTAAAGGTAGAAAAGAAGAATTATTCTTCTTTTTTTGATGACATAATTTTTGATTTCTGTCCAATATCCGGGTGTCATATGTAACGAGGTTATAATTTTCACGTTTGCACCTCATAGATATGGAAAGAAAGAACCCAAGGAAACATAATCAGCAGGGAAATGAAGTCTTTTCTCAAGTACAGGTAGGTAATCCATGCATGTTATGATAAATTCCCTACATTATCCAGTTTGTTACATCTTGTCAAGTCCTGTTGAAGTAGAAAGGAATAAATACAACTTAAGTTTTCAACATCTTTCTTACAGTTCATAGAACAGCTGCAGTTATGGATGTAGCACATTTCTATGAAGTTTCTCTTAAATTGGTTGTCAACTCTCTTTAGTACTTGCACATTTTCATAGTCAGCAATATGTCCAGTATTCTTAATATGTTGGCTAAAGGCTGTGCACGTGGGCTTCTCTTGTGCAAAGCTATTCTGTTTGAGAGTTTCTGGCTGGTTTGACCGACATACACTTGTGAACAAGAACCACATGGAATAGAATACACTACATTGAAGCACACTACATCTAGCTGATCCTTGTTTTGACGCTTTCCCGAAAGTTACCTCCCAAAGAATTATATATATATTATATATATATATATATATATATATATATATATATATATATATATATATATTGATGTTAAGAAAAAAGACAAAAAAATGTGACAAAAAAAATCTTAATAATATACGTACATTATGTTGCAAGTCTTGCATTTCTCCATCGACGGATTCAGTTGGAGGTGGGGGTTGAGGTGGCACAAACAACCTTTTCAGTATGGGCCCTCTTCCCCCAGGAACAGGTAACGATCGGGCCAAGTGGTTGAGGTCTGAAGTCCCGGAGACTGCCTTACATTGCGATATAAGACTTTCGTATCTCCTGCATTGTTCCATAGACTACAATAGCGAAATTACATTAAGTTAAAAACAAAAGCTAAGAAAATCGAAGATTTCTAAGTGTTCACGACCGAAATTTAGGTTACTAATAAAACCTGAATGGACCGGCATGTTGCATCTAAAATTGCCTTCCATGAAATATCGATTCATCTCAGTAAGAATCTAGAATTCTGTCCTGAATTGGTTTTCATTCTCTAGATAAATCAGTAAATAAAGACAAAGAAAAGAAAATTAAGATTTTATTTCACGTGTAGTACCTATACTATTCGTTTATACGTACATTGTTTAAGCAAGACTGATATGATCAGAGCGACTGATAACAAATTTGAACTGTTTTTTTTTTCAATACTTATAAGTATTAGGTTATTTAAATAGATAAAGGTCAATGGCATCATTAAAAAATAACTGGTTAAATTTGTGAAAAACATCATGATAACCAAAACATAATTTACACTAATTATATGTACAATCAGTAGTGAATATTCCCCAATCCTTATTAGACACAGTAATTTTTCTTCATTAAGTCCCATACCCCGAATATATCGATAATAATATTTCCAGTTTGGAAATAACAAACGATATAATCTCGACTACAAAGCAGTTTAAGCAACTTATTTTAAACGCTACACAGAAATATATTGGTAAATCTGTCTGTTAACTGCCGATGTACTGTACCGTAGTGGAATTAACGTTGTGCTACAGCAATCCGTGAAAGTAAATCAGGTATAAACCGATACAAAAAGCCATAAAACGCTCAAAAATAAAGAAGTATTTAAAATGCTAAAAGTAAAGGCACATGTAACTGTCAAAACTGTCATTAAAAGTTTATGGAATAAGTACCTATGAGAAATTAATAACAATAACCATATCTCTGATGTATGAAACAAAGTTAGAAGAGTCTAAGTGAAAATAATAAGTTTATAACATTGAGTAGTAGTAATACAAACATTTTTGGGAGAATCTATGAAAGCCACTCATCAAATCAACAGTATACTGCCAATTTTCTTTAATTCAATGAATTCGCTGAATAAAACCCCATTCATTTGAGTTTAAAATAATTCCTTAAACCATCGGTTCCCTTTTCAAGAGATAAACTTCATCTCTTCATAACTTAAAGGATGCTAGGCCTAGACCTAATGATATTTGCTCAGCATTTCTGAAACATCTCCCTGTTTCACCTATAATGTATCTATTAAACATATTAAAAAAAATAGGTATAAATAAATAAAAATAAAAAAATTAAAATAAAATAACACTTACTCGAAATCAATTAAATGTTACCACCAAAACGACCAAAACGACCAAAACGACCAAAACGACCAAAACGACCAAAACGACCAAAACAACCAAAACGACCATAAAACTGGTTAACTTTAGTTACAACACTAAAAAATAGAAGAAGAACTGTCACACTTTAACCTACATAGCATGTCAATTTATAATTTACCTCTTAAAAATCTAGTTGACAACAAAAAGCTTTTTGACAGTTTCTCTCCTAATAAGTGATGTAGTACCACTAAGTGTCCCCTTTTTAAATTAATGTCTGTTTTGTCTTTGTGTGTGATTGTATTCTGTTTGTTCCTAAGTATCTTTGATTGTCCTTAATTGTTTTAATTTTAATATATTTTTCATCACCATTTTTCTGTCAAAACAGAAACCAAAATCAATTTATCACAATTTGAAAATTACAAATTGGAGTATTGCACACCTACAAATTATAAATCTACCTTAATTTATTGCCATACAGCTACCCCTTTTAATAAATAAGTTAATAAATTAACACACAATTCTAAAATATACAATACCTATTTCCAATTTAATTTGTTAATATATCTCCCCTCAAGAACTTTCCCGCTAATTGTCAAACAGTCAAACAATAAAACAGATGATCACCCATCACCAGCAATCATGGATAATTCGAACTATGTTTTAAAAATCACTAACTAATAATTCTGGTACCGGTATGTAAGCAGTATTTTGGTTATTTACTAATTTATTCCAATTCAATAGATTATCTAATACCATTAATAATCACAGACATATAATATTGGCATAATTGCTGGAATTGTTATCTTTATGATATCTTTTTGTTTTTGTCGGTCAGATAACCAAACGGACAGGGCGGCCGGATTCTCATTCGCTTCACTGCGAGTGGTTTGGCGGATGTGAGTTCGATCCCCACCTCGGTGTACAGAAAAACAAAAAGGCTAACGCAGCAGTTTAAAATTCTAAATGAATCTGCAGCTTAGACTAGAATATGCTGTTGTCTGATCGGCCTATGGTGGAGCAGTACGGCAAGAGATAAGGGCTTGCGACTCGGTGGTACTTCTTCATAGATCCCTACCGGAAGGGCGTGTGCCGCCTAAATACCGGGTATATATAATTGTTATCTTTATAAGACAGCACCCTAATGTGAGTTTTTGTAAATTACCTGGTATCGTTAGACTTGAAGATGCATATCAAATTGTAGTATGCTAAACCGCTCGTTTTGGTGGTAAAATTAAATTGATTGTGAGTAAGTCTTATTTTATTTCTTTTTACCTATTTGAAATAGACTCACACAGGCAACACATTCATGATATTTAAAAAAAATTGGCTTCAGTAATAATGGCAAGAAAATTGGCCAATGGCAATAGTTATTCCTCTCCTAAAAATTTACAAACCCAAATATGACCAGAATCATACTGACCCATATCTTTGACATCGACAGCATGCAAATTACTAGAAAGTATTGTTCACTTTAGGCTGTGATGGGTTTTACAAAATTACAATTTCTTAATCTGCGAGCAAAAATGGTTTCGAAAAAATCCGTCAACTACAGATAACATTTTAGATTAGGAAAGTGAGATACGTAAAGATTTTGCTACAATCCAAAAATTTTTTGATTTAAAATAAGCATTTAATAAAACTTGGAAACACAATAACTTAAGAAAACTTCAATATTCTAATAATTAAGGTCAGTGCCTTGTTTTTATCCAAAACTTTTTAAACAACAGATATTTTCAAGTGAAAATCAATTATATATATTTTTTAATATTTTTAGTTTGGAAAATAGTACCCTCAATAGAAACACTATTTCAACAGAAACATCAATAGGAGTTGTATTCTCAAGTTCCTTGCCACAACCTCCAACCCTGATAATCTGTAAAAAACAGCTAGAGTTTAATCTTTTATTGAAAGCTAACATGAAAAGATCTCATTTCATAACGCATTCCTTCCTATAATAAAAAATTAAATGTATTAAGATTTTTATGTAACAAAAACTGGAGCTCAGACTAATCCACTTTATTTCTTCCGTACAAATCTTCAATACGTTCTAAGCTAGATTATGAAGCAATTTCCTATTCGACTGCTAATTAACCTCTTTTTCAATTATTATTATATACAACAGGTATTATTTACAATAAAAGTCTAAGATTAATCACACGGGCTTTGCCAACTTCCCCTGTAATCAGCATTTATGCTTTTAAGAAAACCACCGCTATATTCGCTTGTAATATTTCAAAACCAATATATTAAAACACTTTTACAAACAAATATGTAAACAAAGTCCAAGATATTCGCTAAACTGAAAAACCATATTACAAACGAATTAAATTCATACTTCAAAATCTAAACTATAATTTTCCAGATGTTTTCTTCTTGGATATTAAATATCCAGAGTCTTAGCTGAGCAATTTACCAATTTGTGATACATCTCTGGCCTATTTCGATAAATCCAGTACAAATAATTCCGTGATTCGGCTTAAGTTCAAAACCTTCTTAGAAAAGTACCCCGACCATCATAATATATACACAGATACCCTAAATCTGAAGAAGGTGTGGAGGCATCAATCGTTACAAGCACATATTTAGCTGAGCTCTACGCTATATACCATGCTGTCAGCATACGACAGCATGGTAGATATGTTTTAACGAGCTTACCTTCACAAAAGCTCTGATCATAAGAGATTCCCTTAACTCTTAAACCCATTATAACATATTTTTCCGACACGTTTCTATTGAAAAGTTACTAAAATACCAGTTGTTCCAAGCTAATCAATATGGAAGAGGAGTTCAATTTTTGTGGTTACCCTCACACGTCGGAATAGCGAGAAACGAAGAAGCTGAAGCAACATTATATTAAACAGTTACTCAAATATCAGTTGTTTCAAGCTAATCATCATGCAAGAAGAGTTCAATTTTTGTGGTTTGTGGTTAAAAATAGTGTTTTTCAGGGGATTCCATCGTTGCTTAAGAGGTATGAATAAATTGTGCTTTCGCGTTTACGACTAGGATATAGCAGGTTAACGTACTTTTACTGTTTCACAAAGAATAATCCACCTATCATATGATCAGTGTAACGCTCAATTAACAGTCTAACACTTTTTTATAAATTATGGTAAATCTGATCAAGAACGACATTGTTACAGTATCACGAAGTCTTGAGCAGAATATCTATGTCAAAAGTATTCCTATGATAATATAGTGAAATATTCAAGATCTATAAACATTTTCTATAATCTGTAGTTATTCAGTTTTGTTATTTATATTTTGATCCTTCGCTTAGGTCATGACCTTTTGGTGAATGCAACTTTTTTCTAATAAAAAAATATTTTTTATTTTTCTCAATAAATAATGTCGAGTCTTATATCACTTACAAGTGAATATCAGAAGAATGGAAAGATTTCTGATACTGCTTTTTGATTGCTTGAAAGCGTAGTTTTACTCTTGGGATCGCGATTATCTGACACTTTATTCAACAAGATACATAATCTTTGATCTAATGAAATTGTTAGGCCCCGGAATGGTTATATCTCAACGAATCTCATAATTCAGTGTTAGGACAGATCTCAACGAATACGAATCCCTTGATATTAAACAGCGAGAAAGGTTATTTTTTCTGCGGTTGCTGAAATTACGTCCTTTTCATTTATAATTCGTGGGAAGTTTAATTTTTAACCCAGGTGTGTAAAGCGGTCGTTTAATGAAAAAAGCTTACAAAAACGAATGAGATTGTT